TATATTCATAAATGACAGATCCAATAAAGGGTTGTCATCGAAAATATATAAAGAGCTCACACACCTCAACAAACAAAAAGCAAACAATCCAATTAAAAAATCGGCAGAGGAGCTGAACAGACTGTTCTCCAAAGAAGAAATTCAGATGGCCAACAGACACATGTAAAGATGCTCCACATTGCTAGTCATCAGAGAAATGCAAATTAAAATCACAATGAGATATCAACTCACAGCAGTAAGGATGGCCACCATCCAAAAAACAAACAACAACAAATGTTGGTGAGGTTGTGGAGAAAGGGGAACCCTCCTACACTGCTGGTGGGAATGTAAATTAGTTCAACCATTGTGGAAAGCAGTATGGAGGTTCCTCAAAAAACTTAAAATAGAAATACCATTTGACCCAGGAATTCCACTCCTAGGAATTTACCCTAAGAATGCAGGAGCCCAGTTTGAAAAAGACATGCACCCCTATGTTTATCACAGCACTATTTACAAAAGCCAAGAAATGGAAGCAACCTAAGTGTCCATCAGTAGATGAATGGATAAAGAAGATGTGGTACATATACACAATGGAATATTATTCAGCCATAAGCAGAAAACAAATCCTACCATTTGCAACAACATGGATGGAGCTAGAGGGTATTATGCTCAGTGAAATAAGCCAGGCAGAGAAAGACACACACCAAATGATTTCACTCATATGTGGAGTATAAGAACAAAGAAAAAAACTGAAGGAACAAAACAGCAGCAGCCTCACAGAACCCAAGAATGGACAAATAGTTACCAAAGGGAAAGGAACTGGGGAGGATGGTTAGAAAGTGACGGATAAGGTGAAAAAAAAAAGGGTGCCTTACTGTTCATAGACATATGTAGTGGGGTGGCATGGGCAGGTCTGTAGAACACAGAGAAAACAGTGAGTGATTCTATAGCATCTTACTACGCTGTTGGTTAGTAACTGTAATGGGGTATGTTGGGGGGCTTGATGGGGGGGCATCTAAAAAACATAATGTTCATGTAATTGTAGTTTAATGATAGCAAAGGAAAAATTTAGACAAGGAAGTTTATAATGGACTTAGTTGTTATCCCTTGGAGAGGAGTTTAAAACCTCACATTTGCAAATGTCAAAGATACTTAAAGAATAGGTAAGGGTTCTGTTGTGGACATCAAAATATATAGCTACAGAACAAATGAAAAATTAATCCACTTTACCCAGATTCTTATTGAAGGCATCTCCGCATACTCAAAAAGATGCTCTATGTCAAATAAGTTACGCAGAGGTGAAAATGATCTAACTGTACAAGTGGAATAGGAAGTCATTGCGAAGCATTTGAGTAAAATGGTTGCATGAAATGTGGAAGTAGGACAAAACCTAACTATTTTATGTATTTTACTTAATAGGTGATTCAAGGTAGGTGTTCCTAAGTTATAATTTATTTAATGTTTTAAAAAAGCAGGCATGAACATCTTATCAGCATTCCTAAAATTTGATGAAGTGTTTTTATCAGCAGCCTACCCATCAATGAATTTACTTGTAGGAAAATGTGTTTTGGATCTTTACTTGGGCAAATATGAGAGCATCATATTTAGGATTGCATTGTTTTCGGGCATATATGGTGTTTATCCTCTTTCACCCAAGATTTTAAAATCTCTGGGCTCAAGTAGTGGTCAGTTCTCTACTTAGGTGTGTCACCACTGACAACATAAGACTGAATATGAGAACTCATAAAGGTTGGTTCTTTAGAGGGTAACCTTCAAAGTTGTAACTCAGGAGCTATTTTTTGCCAGAGTCTTTCTTGATGCTTCCTTCCTCCTCTGGTGGAATTCAACACTTCGTGTACCTTTGCCTCAGTATGTTAAGTCTGCCCCACATCTGCTAGCAGATCTGTGTCTGCTGTCCTCCACACTCCAAACGCCTGTACACAGGGATCATGTCTAATGGTTTTTGGGCCCTTAGAGCTATATTGGATCATAGGTGCCACACATTATTTGAATGAAGCATTCATGAGTTTGAATGACTACTACTGCCTTCTCTGGAGGGGCAGCTTTCACCATCCCACTTCCTGCTCAGGGATTAAGTAGATTTAGGAAAAGTTTTTAAGATATCCTTCGCTATCTAAGCTCTCATTACTTGCTCTCTGAATATCAAGGACCAAAAACATTTGGATTTCATAGTGTTCTTCACTCTTGGAATTCTAGGAACAAAATCAAGGAATATTTTGAAGCACATGTTAGAACATAGATCCAGTTTTAGTCACAGACTTAGATAGGTCCTAGGGTGTATACTTTTGTCAAGTTTAAGTGATTGCCCATACTCCTTGCATGGCGGCCACATACTGCTCTCCAGACCTCTTCCCAGGTTGGGACTCTATCTCTTCTGGCTTTGGCCTGTGGTTTCCAGATGTGGGAGCTGAAGAGAAGTGGCTACTGTTGTTGCAAGAGTACCAGACCAAAGTGGCAGATAATTAGGATTGATTAAAGCTAGAAAGCTCAGGTTTTTGAGCTGCTGCTAATGGGGATATTATTATTATTTTTAATTTAAACATGATATGGCTTATTCATACCAAAGTTAAGCTTTACTTGGGTAAATTTAACATTTTTCATATGTAAAAGACTAGGGTAGTTTTATTTCTGAGTATAGTATTGTGTCCAGTTGGAATGTGTAGCTAAGCTCTTGTTTTGACTTGGACACTTGGAGTGAAATGACAGTTTCATTCTAGAAGAGACATATTAAATGAAGAACTTTTCCTTATTGAATGCCTACTCTGCCAGCCACAGAGGTAAATCCGGCTCTTTGCATTGCTCCATTGAATGCTTAAAACTACACTTACCCCAGTTTCTTCCTTTGTTTTAACTTTATTTTGAGGTATTTGTAGATTCACGTATTGTAAGAAATAATACAGATAGATCCTGTAAATGCCCTTTGACCCAGTTTCCACTGAGGGTAACATATTACATAACCACTGTGGAGTATCACAAGTGGGAAAATGTGATTGATACAATCCCCTGACCTTTGTCACATTTCACTAGTGTTACCTTTACTCGTTTGTGTGTATAAGTTTGTGTATTTTGTTCTGTGCAGTTTTACCACATAGCGTAGGTTACCATTATGTCTAAACAAGGCTCAGATAAATTATGTGAAATGCCTGAGTGTAGGCCTGGTGTTTGAATCTAGATCTGTTTGATCTAAAATTTTGCTTTTCCAGTAACAGTAATGAAAAACACACCATCAAAAATCAATAGTAACAATGGCTGTAATTCACTTAGTGACATATGACACAAACTGAGTCCTTACAATGTGCCAGGGTCTGTTCTAATGTATTAATTCATTGAATGCCCCCAACAACTGTATGTCATAAATTATATCACAGTTGAATTAGTATCGTTAATTAAACTACTTGTATTACCAAGGAATAGGTAATTGTTTTTACTCCTGAAATCAATAATAGTGATATTCTATCTTCTTTTTACATAATTGCATATTTTGATCTTCTGACCTTAACTGCTGATCTTGGTAGTTGTGACCACATAAAGTGTGTGTGTGTGTATATATATGTGTTTAAAGTGAGACCTATATTATTATACAGTAAGTTAGGTTGAAATACTCTAAAAATATTTTTACAAATGTAATATAAACCAAAGCTAGTTTAGGCAGAATGGCAGGTGTTTAAGGGAATATATATATATATATGTGTGTGTGTGTATATACATATATATATATAAAACCACCAATAATACTTAAGAATGGGAGAAGTTTTTTGTTTTTTGTTTTTTTTTTTGTGTGTGTATTTTAGATTCTTTTTGCCAAATACAGCCCCAAGAACTTTAAAATTCAATTGAATCTCTCAAGTTATATATCTAACTTCCAAAATGGAACCTAATGCATTGGTTGTGAATTATCACTGATTTTCTGAATATTATAATGCTTTAGGAAAATCATAGGTATACTGATCAGTCTATAGTTTACCCTACGATCCTTTGCTAGTTAAATATCTTATAAGGCTGTCATAATAATGAGCAGCAGCACTTTTCTGACCAGAAATAGCAGTCCCGTGTGTTGTAGGTCCCAGGAGGTCTTGAGTGTTTTTGTAGACCGCAGACAGAAATGAAAGGAATTTTGTCCTTTTTACCTCATGTAATCCCGCTGGAAAATGAAACATGTGCTATGAGTTTATACTGACTTCTGCCAGGTCACCTCCCCAAAGAGTCCCGGGCAAGCGCTGTTGCAGCATTTCTTGGACAGGAGTCTGACAGCCCCTCCACGAGTCGGACAGTTTTTGTGGTGTGCTACTGTGGAACACTGCACCACTCTCTGCTCCTAGGAAGCTTCTGGACAGGGTTGCCCTGAGTGACCTGCATCTGTTTCCTTGACTCTTTGCCAGTATATCACACCCCCAAATTAGAGTCAATTTAAACTAAGACCTATGTAGTTTGTCATGGTTGTTCTTACCATGATAGGTGACGAGTCATGCAGCACTGAGTGTGGTTGGTTCTGCCTTGCTTTTTAGAACTTGATTTTGGACATTAGATAATGCAGATGTTTTTGAAACTGTATATTATTCAGAGCTATTTGGAAACCATGAAACCTTTTTAATGGACCACTCTATCAATTTTCTGCTCTTCTAAGGAAGTTTTTCCTATTCATGACTCATTTTACTCTTTGGCTGACACTGGGGGAAATGTAATAACGATTAAGGAAAGGAAGGTATGTGTTTTCTTTTCTTGAAAGCTTGTACACGTTTTCTGTCTTTGGTTATGTAAACTGGATAACTTGTAGAATGCTGACAACTACGAGGTGTTAAATCTAGCCTGGTAATACATACTTGTCTGGAATTTAAAAATCAAAATGCTTTCTTTGCTTCTATGGAGAAGTCTTTTGCTTGATGGCCCAGAATATAAATTCAGGAAAAACGACATGTTCCATCTGTCATTTCCATACATCTTCAGTAAAATTAGTGAGATCACCCTAAGATTACGCTTTGTGTTTTATTTTCATTTTTTAGGTCTATATGAGCTGTTGGCTGCTCTGCCAGCCCAACTGCAGCCACATGTGGATAGCCAGGAAGACCTGACCTTCCTCTGGGATATGTTTGGTGAAAAAAGCCTGCATTCACTGGTAAAGGTAAACCATGCTGATGTCAGATACCCCTTGCCGAAACACATGGAAAAATCTTTTGAGTGCCATCTAGTCAACCAGAGATCAGATTGTTACTCTCTGAAAAAAAAAACAGCCTTGTTCCATTTCACTGATGGACATGGAAATTGTTAAAGATTCTACCAAAAATACATAGCTGATTTCATTTAATGTAGTGATCTGGCCATGCATACTAATGCAGCAAAGATGTGCTTGCTCTTGTTTAGAAAAAGAATATGAAATAGTAGCAGGAAGGTTTAGACTCTTTATAGTCAACATTCATACCTGGGATTTAACTTAAAATAAATGTTCATAGAAAAAATTAGGAGGAATATATTTTCTGATGTTAAGGATTGGCAGCCATTCAGTAGCCACATTAATTTAAAATAATTCCCTTTAACAAAGTCAACTGAAGTTCTAGCATGCTGTTTCTTCTCTTGGCAAAATACACTGATATTTTGTGTATAAACACACTGAAGCTAAATATGAATAAAAACAGTTTTGGGGGAAGTTTTAGTAAAGCTTCATGCCCTGAAAATGATCAACCACCAGAAATCACATCTTGCCACACAGCAATGCTGGGAGGACTCGGAAAGTAGTAAAATTAGCTCAAGAAACATACTGGAAAATATGACACTCTTGCTTCTGAAAATATGAATTGCATTTTCTGTCATTTAAATCAAGCTGAAAGAAATTTAGAGCCTTACTTGAGTCTGCAGGACAGAGAAGGCTAGGGTGCCTCAGCAGTATCTGGACATACACTTAATTCAGCTAAATTTGATTCAATTCTCTGTCATGGTAATAGATTTTTTCATTGATATATATTATTTGATAATAAGCAACTTTTGAGGTACAATGGCTCCACAGAACAGGAGAATTCGTATTACATTTTGTTCTGGTCAGATGTTCTGAAATTTGCATACCTGAGCAGTGGCAATTCTCAAAAAGTGAAAAGGTTGGTGATTAAAGATGGCAGGGTGAGAGGTGAGACAGATAACTCCTCCCAAAAACACATATAATATGAAAATAACTATAGTTAATACAACTAATCCTAAAGGAGCAACAGGAAAGAAGGCTACACCAGACCACATGCACCTGGAGAACAGAGCAGACCTCATGGAACAGGGTAATATACCAAAGCCTTGATCTGGCAGGACCCAAGCACTTCCCCCACCACAGCTCACCGGTGGGAGGAAGAGAAACTGAGCGAGGGGGTGGAAGCCCAGGACTATTGAACACGTATCCCTGGAGATCTGCTATGGGAGCACAAACCTACATTGCATGGTGCTCTGGAGATTAGTGGGGTTGGAAAGCTAAGACAGGCAGAATACTTGGGGAGACTGAGATTCCAGACATTTATGGAGGACAGTGATCCATATCCAGCTTCTCTGGGACAAAAGAAAGGCGGGCAGTCTGAGAGGGTTCCCAGCATCGAGAGGGCTGCTGAAGGGGTGGGGATTGCAAGAAGCTTGCTCCTCGGGAAAGGGATACATGGACTAGGTTGTCTGGGCACACTCTGCCCAGCTGGTTGGGAATTTTCAGGAGTTTCAGGCACTCCTTCTGCCTCGTTGACTCAGCTGCAAGTCCCCCACTGCGATACCCACCCTGCTGCACTTTCCTCTTGGCCTACTGGCTTACAAACCTGCAGTAGCTACCCTGGCATGAGACCAGCCAAAGGAAGGCACCGCCTACAGCAGCTACAAGCACAAAGCACAGAGGCTTACACGTGTGCCCACTTGTTTTGACAGTGGTGACAGGCACTGCAGTCGGGAAACTGGAAACAGCTCTTTCCTCCGCCTAGGCACCAGTGCTGCTCCCCTGTGACCCCTAATATCACTCCAGGGGCTGAGCAGCTCCAGAGACTAGAGCTTCTGGGTACTAGAGAGTGGCACATACAAGTATGAATTGTCAAAGGAACCTTCTTCAATCCAAAATCTTACAAGCACCAGAGGAAGGGCCAAGTGAAACTGAACTCACCAATCTTCCTGTAAGACAGTTCAAAATAAAAATCATAAACATGCTCATGGAGGTACATAAAAATATTCAATAACTCAGGGATGAATTTAGGATGGAGATTCAATCATTAAGAAATTCCACATCTGAAATGAAACAGACAAGGAAGGGATTGAAAAGCAGGTTAGATGAAGTAGAAGAGACAGTAAATGGAATAGAAATTAGAAGGGGAATACAAAGAAGCTGAGGCACAGAGAGAAAAAAGGATTTTTGGGGATGAAAGAATATTGAGAGAACTGTGTGACCAATACAAATGAAACAATTAGCATTACAGGGGTACAAGAAGAAGAGAGAGAAAAAGGGACAGGAAGTATCTTTGAGGAGGTAATTGCTGAAAATTTCCCCAATCTGCAGAAGGAGGTAGTCTTTCAGGCAATGGAGGTGGAAAGATTTCCCAACACAAGAGACCCAAGAAAGACAACACCAAGACATATAATAATTGAAATGACAAAGATCAAGGATAAGGACAGAGTATTAAAAGCAGCCAGAGAGAAAAAAGATCACATACAAAGGAAAACCCATTAGGCTATCAGCAGATTTCTCAGCAGAAACCTTACAGGCCAGAAGGAAGTGGCATGACATTTAATGCAGTGTAGCAGAAGGGCCTAGAACCAAGAATACTCTACCTGGCAATGATAAATTTATCATTTAAATTTGAAGGAGGGATTAAACAATTTTCAGCTAAGCAAAAGCTGAGATAATTCACCTACCACAAACCACCTCCACAGTGTATTTTGGAGGGACTGCTATAGGTGGAAGTGTTCCTAAGGCTAAATAGCTGTCACCAGAGGAAATAAAACCACAGTAAAGAAAGTAGAACACTTAATTACTAAGCAATGCAAAATCAAATCAACTATCCCAAAGTCAATCAAAGGATAGACAAAGAGTACAGAATTTGATACCTAATATATAAAGAATGGAGGAGGAAGAAAAAGGAGGACAAAAAGAGAACCTTTAGGTTGTGTTTGTAATAGCATACTAAGTGAGTTAAATTAGAATCGTAGATAGTAAAGAATTACCCTTGCACCTTTGGTAACCAGGAATCTAAAGCCTGCAATGGCAACAAGTACATAGCTATCAATAATCACCCTAAATGGAAATGGTCTGAATGCATCAATCAAAAGACATAGAGTCACTGAATGGATTAAAAAAAAAGACCCATCTATGTGCTGCCTACAAGAGACTCACTGCAAACCCAAGCACATACACAGACTGAAAGTAAAGGGATGGGAAAAGATATTTCATGGAACTAATAGGGAGAAAAAATCAGGAGTTGCAGTACTTGTATCAGATAAAACAGATTTCAAAGCAAAGAAAGTAAGAAGAGACAAAAAAGGGCATTATATAATTATAAAGAGGTCAGTCCAACAAGAGGATATAACTACTATAAATATCTATGCATCCAACACAGGATCACCTACATACGTGAAACAAATACTAACAGAATTAAAGGGAGAAATTGAATGCAATGCCTTCATTTTGAGAAACTTCTACACACCACGCACTCCAAAGGACAGATCAACCAGACAGAAAAAAGTAAGGAGACAGAGTCACTGAACAACACACTAGAACAGATGGATCTAATGGACATCTATAGAACACTTCACCCAAGAGCAACATAATACACATTCTTCTCAAATGCACATGGAACATATTCAAGAACAGATCATATACTAGGCCACAAAAAGAGCCTCAGTTAATTTAAAAAGGTTGAAATTGAACCAACCAGCTTCTCAGACCACAAAGGTATGAAACTAGAAATAAATTACACAAACAAAGTGAAAAAGCCCACAAACACTCAGAGGCTTAATAACAGGCTCCTACATAATCAATGGATCAATGACCAAATAAAAACAGAGATCAAGCAAAATATGGAGACAAATGACAATAATGATTTAACACCACAAAATCTGTGGGATGCAGGAAAGGCCCTGCTAAGAGGAAAGTATATTGCAATACAGGCTTACCTCAGGAAAGAAGAACAATCCCATATGAACAGTCTAAACTCACATTTAATGAAATTTTAAAAAGAAGAACAAATGAAGCCCAAAGTCAGTAGAAGGAGGGACATGATAAAAATTAGGGCAGAAATAATTCAAATCAAGAAGAGTAGAAGAATAGAAAGAATCAGGGAGATCAGGAGCTGGTTCTCCAAGAATATAAAATAGATAAACCCCTAGTCAGATTAATCAAGAAAAAAGAGAGGCTACGGACATAAACAGAATTGGAAATGAGAAAGGAAAAATCACTCTGGACACCACAGAAATACAAAGAATTATTTGAGAATACTATGAAAAATTATATGCTAACAAACTGGATAACCTAGAATGGACCACTTTCTAGGAAAATACAACCTACCAAGGCTGACCCAGGAAGGAACAAAATTTGAATACACCAATTACCAGCAATAAAATTGAATTGGTATGCAAAAAACTACCTAAAAACAGAACTCCTGGACCAGATGGTTTCACTGCTGAATTTTATCAAACATTTGGTGAAGACCTAATACCCATCCTCCTTAAAGTTTTCCAAGAAATAGAAGAGGATGGAATACTTCCAAACTCATTCTATGAGGCCCCCATCACTCTAATACCAAAACCAGGCAAAGACACCACAAAAAAAGAAAATTACAGACCAATATCCCTGATGAACATAGATGCAAAAATACTCAACAAAATATTAGCAAACCGAATTCAAAAATACATCAAAAGGATCATCCATCATTATCAAGTACGATTTATTCCAGGGATGCAAGGATGGTGCAACATACGAAAATCCATCAACATCATCCAACACATCAATAAAAAGAAGGGCAAAAACCTCATAATCTTCTCCATAGATAATGAAAAGCATTCAACAAAATTCAACATCCATTTCTGATAAAAACTCTCAGCAAAATGGGTATAGAGGGCAAGTACCTCAACATAATAAAGTCCATATATGAGAAACCCACAGCCAACATCATACTGAACAGC